ATTGGGGAAAGGGTGAAACATTACTCGCTCCCAGAGGGTTCTTGTAGTGGAGATGGGAAGAGTTCAAATGTTTCTTTGCAGACAGGATTTGGGGACAGGGTAGAGAAAGAAGACGAGGATACAAGTTTGGAGCTCAAGGCAAGAACTGGAGAGAGCAGTAAAGAGAAAGAAGCAGCGCAGTACTACAAAAGAAAAATACATTAAAGCAAATTAAGCCTATGAATAAAAGCAAAAAAAATAAAGTCAAAAAAATTTAAGCTTATGAATAAAAGCAAAAAACTGAGCCTACGCGAGTGAAAATTATCCTGTAAAAACCTGTCGTCAGTAGAGGACTTCTCTGTTTATGAAACTGATGCTTAGGTAAGACTGAGAGCGAATAAATTTCGTTGTGGAATATGAACTGAATAAAAATACTGGATGCATGGGAAAAAAAAAGACAGCCTTTGTTTCTGTAAGGGGCAAAAAAACGGAGGTGTAACTGCTGTGCACAGTTGCAGGCTGCCGAGGCAACGCATTGGTACTATATGTAATTTTTGTGTAAATCCATTCGAACTTATTCTCTCTCTGCTTTACGTAAGCATCAGCTTTATAAATGGGAAGTCCTCTGTTGACGACGGGTTTTTATTGGGGAATGACCACTCGCATAGACACAGTTTTTTTTTTTGCTCTTACTTTTTTTTAAACTTTCGCTCATGGGTTTGCGCCTTTTTTCCTTAATTTTGTTTTTATTCATGCGCCTAGGTTTACTTTGATTTATTTTTTTTTTTTGCAATGCTTTGTTTTCTCCTTCTCTTTGCTGGTGTCTCCGGGTCTTGCCTTGAGCTCCTGACTTGTATCCGCGTTCCCTTCTTTAGTCTGCCCCTCCTCCCCCAAATCCTGCCTGCAAAATAACATCTCTGAGCTCATCTTCTCCACTATAAGAGCCATGTGGAAACAAGAAGTATTTCAGCCCTTCCCTACTCCGAGTATCCGCGGTAAAAACCAAGAGCGCACTTCCTCCTTTTCACCTGTCAACCCC